AGAGGAGCTGTGGGACCCGTGGGACAGGAGGCTGCCCCGGGCTGGCTTTGCTGCCCTGGGCTCAGAGGCAGAACCCGTCTGACCACTCGTGATCCCAGCGTCCGTGCCGGCTGTCCCGGCGCCCTCGCCACACCTCCCCAGCCCGCTGGCAGGGACAGCCTATAAGTGTCCCCTGACAAGAGCAGCGAGGCCAAAGGAGCCGGCCAGACCGCAGGAAAGGAGCAGCACACACCTGGCCCAGGTGTGCAGTGACATTGGGGCTGGCCTGGCTGCGGGGCTGTGACTGCTCCTCCTGGGGACCCCTCCTCGGCCAGCAGGGTAAGGAACACCCCAAACCTGCTCTGGGCAGGGTAAGAAAGAGGAACATCCCAATCCTGCTCTGGGTAGGGTGAGAGGAGCATCCCAAACCTGCTCTGTGCAGCCACCAGGGCTCCTTGGGCACCAGCTGTGGCCACTGCTGAGCCAGGGACTGCCCAGGCGGCCTTGGCTGCCTCCCACCTCCTGTCCTGCTCTCAAAGTGTGCTGAGGCAAGGAGGAGACAGGGAGGAACTGCATTAATCCAAACACCTGACCAACATCCCGGGGCAGCCCCAGGGGATGCTACAGGGAGCCCTTCCAGGGATTCCCCAGCGCTGCCACACCTCAGTCAGGTGTTCAGGAGAAGAAAATGGGTTTTTGTATTCCTTGGTTGCCGTCTCTGCTCCTGACAAGGAACAGGGGACAGTTTCCAGTTCAGGAGGGACCCAAGTGCTCTGCACAGCTCCTGCTGTGGCAAAGGAGGAAAATGCCAGCACTGCTGGGGCTGCTCATGTGCCACCATGATTGCGGCAGCAGCTCCTCACTGGGGCCAGTCCTGCCCTGCTGCCACCCTGGCTGTAACCCCAGTTCTGCTCCTTCCCTCTGCCTGCTTCAGCTGCTCTCACCTTCTCTCTAATGCCCCCATTTCTCAGAAAACCAACAGGACATCCAGCAGCCCAGCTGGCAGCATCTCCCCATCACCTCAAGGGACTCTGGATGAGGCAGAGGCAGGGACAGGAGCCTGCCCCGAGCTCTGGCAGCATCAGCAGCAGCACCTCAGCACCCTGAGCTCCTCAAACCAGCCCCAGCTGCCCCGGGCTCTCCCTGGCCACCCTCCCATCCCTCCACAGGTGTGTGCAGCAGGCCAGGCTGTGCCCAGCAGCCATGGAGCCCAGCAGCGTGCCCCCAGCCTCGGTGACCCCCTCGTGGGATGTGTTCCCCCAGCAGACCCTGGAGCCCGTGGACATCGCTGTGCTCGTGCTCTATTTCCTCTTCGTGCTGGCCGTGGGGCTCTGGGTGAGCAGACACCTCCAGAACTCCCTGGGTGTCCTGTGTGCTGAAAATGGGGCTGCTCTGGCTGGGATTGGGCTGCTTCCCACTGCACCCAACAGCTGCAGGGGCAGTTTGCAGGTCCCTGTCCTCTCCCCAGCCTGGCACGTGCCCTCACTGTCCCTGGGGAGTGCCCAGGCCTGTGCTAGCCAAGGTTTGAGAGCCCGGTGAGGAAGAGGCTGTCTGAGCACAAACTACTGCTAACAATGATGTTTTGTTCATCCAGGAAGGAACTGCTGTCCTATAAATCACCTGTGCTTGTCCACAGGGGTCCTGACAGCAGATTCCTTAAATTATTAGCATTGTCTATATATAATTGGGGCAGAAGGACATCCTTTGGCGTGGCTTTTGTGGCGGCCTGGCTGTCAGGAGGCAGAGGGGAATAGCTGCTCCCTTTGGATGGGGTGCACAGCTCAGAGCATTGCATGGATCATCTCTGGGGAAGGGCAATCACATGTGCAATGCCCAGCATTCCTCCTGAGCGCTCCTGACACCCAGAATTCTGCAGTTCTTGCCCAAAACCGCTCTCCTTCCTTTCTGACCTGGAGGGATGGAGTTTGGTTACCCAGAACATTCCATCAGGGCGCCGAGGTGATGGAGAACTGCCTGGGACTCAGGAGGAATGCTGGGCATTGCACATTGACACATTGCAGGTGTCCCTCAGGAAAGCTTTCTGTGCAGCTGGGGGCACTCAGGGGCTGTGCTGGGCAGCCCTGGGTGTGCCCTGAGCCCGTGCCCCCCTGTGTGCCCGCAGTCCATGTGGAAGACGCAGCGCAGCACCGTCAAGGGCTATTTCCTCGCCGGGGGACAGATGGTCTGGTGGCCTGTGAGTACCCTGTCCCCTTGGTGTGACTGTGCTCACACGGGTTGTCAGATCAGGGAAGAGATGAGAATGCTGACTCCATGTTTCAGAAGGCTGATTTATTATTTTATGATATATGTTGCATTAAATCTATACTAAAAGAATAGAAGAAAAAGTTCTCATCAGAAGGCTAGCTAAGAATAGAAAAGAATGAATAACAAAGGTTTGTGGCTCGGACAGAGAGAGAACCAGCTGACTGTGATTGGCCATTAATTACAAATAAGGATATGAGACCAATCCCAGATGCATCTGTTGCATTCCACAGCAGCAGATAATCATTGTTTGCATTTTGTTCCTGAGGTTTCTCAGCTTCTCAGGAAGAAAAAATCCCAAGGAAAGGATTTTCACAAAAAGATGTCTGCGACACTGGGGCACCGACCCCCACTTCTGCTGGGGCACTGCCCATGCCTCCAAACAGCAATAAACAGCCAAAAGTCACTCCTGTGCTCTGCCAGCTTCATGTTGAGCTTTTCCTCCTGGATTTCAGACTGCAGGGCGAGTTCAGCCCAATGTCCCACAAAACCTGGCTGCTTCTGGAGATCTCCACAATTCCCTGGGTGTCCCCAGCATGGACACAGCTCTGTGCTGAGCCTGGTCCCTCAGCAGTGCTGATGCCAGAACCTGACGTTTCTCCCTGTTCCCCCACCTTCTCTGCCCACCCACAAGAATTGGATGCTTTGCAAGCAGGGTGGTCCTGAGCACACCCACAAGTGTGCAGTGAATGGTGAAAGAGGCTGCAGAGAGGTGCCCAGGCCACTGACCCTGTATGGAAAAGAAGAAGGTGGCAGAGGCTGACGAGGGTTCCATGTCCTGTGCAGCCAGGAGCGGGAACTCCCTGTGCCCCCCGTGCCAGGGCCACAGCTGGTTTCTCCCTTTGCCCAGGTGGGTGCATCCCTGTTTGCCAGCAACGTGGGCAGCGGGCACTTCATCGGCCTGGCGGGCTCGGGAGCTGCCTCGGGCATTGCAGCCACAGCCTACGAGTGGAACGTGAGTGGGCACGGGGGCTGGACAGGGCATTCCACCCTCCCTGCCCTG